CAATTATGGAACAACTGTGATAACAAACTTTTCAATATTCAACCTATCATCAGTGAAAGACCAGCAAGTTCCAGAAAGATAAGGAGAGAGGAGGTGGTTCTAGCCAGACTCCATATTGGTTACACATACATAACACACCAACATCTCCTAAAAAATGAGGTACCTCCAACATGTGTCCCATGCCAAGAATCTTATACAGTCAAACACATCCTACTAAATTGCCATAATCTCCTACGAATCTGTAGTAAATACTACTAATCGGATAACCTAAAGGATCTTTTCGAAAATACTAATCCTAGTAACATCATAAATTTCACTAAAGAAATTGGGATCTACAGAAAAATCTACAACCCCCCCCAAAAAAAAACAATGCATTTTTGAAAAACAAATATTACCAGCTATATATTTTTGAAAAAAAGAAATTATATATTACCAGCTATACATTTTTTAAAAAAAGAAAAAATATTACCAGTGATACATAACTGAAAGATAATTATTACCAGAAATAGAATTTTTGAAGGAAAAAATTTTACTAGAAATAGATTTTTTGAAGGAAAAATATTACCAGAAATAGATTTAAAAAAAAAATATTGCCAACAATAAAATTTTGTTGGCATTAAATGACCCATTGAGGTTGATATGCCGTAAAATCAAAACAGAATAAACAAAATTAGATGTTCTGTCTGTACAACATTTGTTTTTCTAAGATCAGAGTGTAGTATCTGTAGTATCCTTATCCCCAGTTCTTCTGAGCTGTAACCAATAACACTTTCTCAAAGAGAACTACATAATATTATATGGGAAGGAAACAAGGGGAGAGAAGGAGAGGGAAGATAAAAAGGTAAGAAAATGAAAGAAAAAAGCTAGAGGAAAGAAATGTAGATGGAAATAAAAAAATATATACATGGAAGGGAGGGATGACAATGAAAGACAGACAGGCTTGCTGGATGAATGTAAAGACAACAGGTAAAAAAAGAATGGAAAAGTAACGATTGTGAGACATTAAAAATAAAGACTAAAGAATGTAGTAGAAAATTTATTGGATACAAAAAGAATCTCTTAGATAAAAATCTGGACAAAGCTATGAAGATTGGAAGGGATAAGGGAAATAGTAAGAAGATACAGGCAAAAAATGAGAGAAGATCCAAGACATGAGATAATGAATAATATGAGTGGAATTTCTATAGGTCCATTTCATGGCAATTTTTATAAATATTGCCATGGCACAGCTAATTGCCATTTAATTTTTTTTTTACTGTGGCTTATCACAGAACTTTGGTTGTTTTACATTCTACTACTGTAAAGAAATCTGTATAGATCAAGGAAAAAGTAGACCAGTGAGATTTGAATTTGCTTCCTCTAACCTCAGAAGATTGTCTGACATGAAGAGTTACTTAATGATTTATGTCCATGGAGGCCAATTAAATTTTCATCATATTGATACATTCTTTTTTATCTGATTTACCCCACACCATGTTATTTGTTTATGCCAAGTAGCAGTAGACATAATAATCTTATTAATTTTTTAATAGTACTAGTTCAGTATCCATTGCTTCACAGACAGCAAAATGATCAAATTTCAAATCTAAATTGTTTGTCTATTTAAATGACTCCATTTATTAGAAAATACATTCGGTGTAAATACATAAGGCCTATCAAAGTGACTTCAAAGGGCTGTACATTTAGGTTTATAATGTTTTTTTCTTTCTGTTACCCAGAGGTTGTTGCCTGACAGAAAAGGAAAGTAGCTCTTGTGGCGGATATCCATTTCAATTTAATTCAAATTGTGTGTTCGTTTTAATTCAATGACAGACTCGGAAATATTTCTCCTAAAATAAAAATTTTAAATAATTTCTGAAAAGTTAAAAAATCTGACTTTTTTTTTATCAATATTTTTTGTTAAGAAATTAGACATGTCATTTTTATCCGAGTTCATTTTTTTGTAACCATTTAATTTTTTTAAAAAGTTTAACTTTAAATTCACTTTATTGTCATAAGTAATTTACATGCGGGTCATCTCTGTGCTGTCAGATTCTAGCTACCAATGACTTAACACAAATAGATATAGATAGAAGAGATATAAATAAACTAATATCAATAAAAAGAAACAATGAAATAGCTACTGATAAGAAACTAAATCTCCCTCACTGTAAGTAAGAGAAAGAAAAACTGGTTATTCTTTTTAATTATTTCACATGTAAGCACAGAGACAGTTTGATGGTCATTAAGCAGTTTTTTTCTCTTGTCACCTGTGTTGATGTTATTCCTCAGTCAAGGGTAGGTGTTTTCCTGACTGAGACGACTGTATCATTTCAATGTTTTATTTCAAACTTTCTCAAATTTTGTGTGTATATGTGTTTGTGTGTACATTAAATGGCACAACCATATGCAAGTCGGGGAGGTACGGTGGAGTAATGGATAGTGGCTCAGATTGAGGAATTGGAGAGAAGAGTTCAAATTCCAGTTGAATCCATTACATTCACTTATGTGCTAATACCCTTGGGAAAGGTATGAATCCTCTTCTCTCAAAGCTATGGGTAAATAGCAGGACAGACTGGGTTCTATAGTCTTAGATGGCAACTGGTCTAGGAGACGGACAACTGAATTCAAAACCTGATCCTCCAGGTATTGAACTCACACTCTTTGGGTCATCAAGGACACATGGCACAGTGGATAAAGGTGTTGGTTAGATCCAGTGACAGGATCCAAAGAGTGTGAGTTCAATACCCGGTTAAGGCAGTGGAGTACTTGCAGAGGGGAATTAACAGGAGATAACTGATACCTGACATCCATTAGACATGGCACGTGGAACTAGAACAGTCTACCCCAGTGAGTGAAATAAAAGGTTCAGTTTGACATTCCAACCACCAGAAAAAGGCCAGAGCATACAACGGCCGAAACGTTGTAATAAATATGGCAACAAAGATGAGTACAATAGTCCGAATAATGTAAATAGTGTACATAATACCTCATCTCAGAAATATAGACAGAAATGTGGAGCCATACTTAATGTATAAAGTATACACTAGTGTTACTTAAAGTTTGTTGCATTAATTTTTGACTAATTTTTGATTGATCCTATTGTTGCCTATTTTCACAGTTTATATGTCATTTTAAATTCTTTGACAGTTAAGCAAGCAACAGGGCTTGGAAGAGGGGGAAATAAGTACTGGCTTTTTAGTAAGTAACAGTTCGGTAACTTTGATGAGCTGCCAAAAAGAAAAAAATAAAGTCTTAACATAGTGCACAATGTGACATTTACTGTTTCATTAACACGAATGCAAAAACGCAAACAACACATTGAATAAGAGAAGTACTAACTAAAAAGGTTGTTTTCTTATGTTAGTCGTTTGACTTAGAGTTCTGGGTATGACAATAAACTACATCCGCGTTCTGGGTAAGATGGTAAACTACGTCCAACAGCAGGGCCTCTGATTGGAAGGTTTTGAGGAGCATGGAACCACCTCTTAATTGCTGGTGTTCCCAGGTCTGCCCTAACCTGGGGTGGTAGGATCTGATAGGGTCCCAACTATGGGCAAATAGTGAAAGTGTAAAAATAGGTTTAATACCAGAAATATTTTATAAAAAATTATCAGCAATAAATTTTTGAAGAAAAATTATTACCAGCAATAAAAATTGTTGGCATTAAATAACCCATTGTTGTTGATATGCCATAAACCAAACCAAACCAAACCTTTGATTTAGGTGTAAGTAAAATGAAGTGATTTCAGTATCTATATCTCATCTCCATCAGTTTCAGGAATGAGTCTGTGAACTTGTCAATAATATGTCCTCTATCCATGAAGTCGATAGCTCAGTGATTTCTAAGCTAGACAGGAGTGCTTATTACCTTAGCTCATATTGTATACCTTTGATTAGTTGTGGTGCCAAATGTACACCTCTTGGAGTCACTGTTGCCAAATATAATACAATAAGCTGTTATGAAGTGAGGTTTAACATGATACAGTGTGGATGTTTCTATCAGTTTACTATTTTCACCTGTTGCTTGTTGTCATGTCTGGTTGTTTAATGTTGTGTGCCTGCCATGATGAAATTATGAAAGAATTCTTCTGTTAACTCTGGTGGATCATGGTTTTCTTGATCCAGCAACTTTCTTGAAAGGCAGAAAAATTATGGTTAAAAGAAATAAATGCTGTTATAAAAAAAAAAAAACTATCAGCAGTTTAAAACAAAGACTGCCAAAGGTTACAATCATTCTGGTTGATTTCTACTAATATTCTTGTGACAATGATTCCTTCAGCTTGTAAAGAGAGAGAGAGAGAGTTCTCTCTGGACATGAAAAACTCTTTGATGCAAACTTCCCAAGAGACTGCAGGGTCTCACATCTATAGCTATTTGTTTGGGCAAAACAACATTGATGGATGTTATCTTCTCACAAAGACTCTCTTTGTTAGGAAAGTACATATGCCCCTTCCAACCGATTCTGGCTCAAGAAGAACAAATGTAATTTGTGAAGATAGCTATTATATGAACAGTTCCCAGGATTTTGGCAAACACATTAATGTTGTCACTACAACTTCCTTGAGATTGTGGAAATGGGGTAAAGAAAATTTAGTCTTACTGAATTTACTAAATCTTAGGTTTATTTTCAAATCCTACCGATGTTTTCCTAATAAGCATTTAGTAGGTTCTGGTTAATGTTTCTAAACTGAACCTTCCATTAGTTTCCAATCTGGTTAATTAATCTTTTAAATTTTTTAATTTAGTATTTTCACTCTTTCACTTAGAATTCTTAACTTGCTAAATACTTTGTCACTAAACTACTTTTCATGGATTATTCTGTCTCAACTAAGGCCATTGCCCTGTTACAATGTGACCAATAAAAGTGTGAGTAGGGGTATGATAATGATAATAATGAAAGTACATTGTTCTATTGACTTTTTTTCTTTTTACAAAGAATTATCTGTTAATTCTGGTATTTTTTATTTATTTCCGAGTTAATTTAAATTTATTTTATTTTATTTTTTATTTCTTTTTAGAAATGTCAGCATCAAAGGTAAAGTTGTACGTGTACAAATCTGGGATACAGCTGGCCAGGAAAGATACCGTGCAATAACCAGTGTGTAAGTAGTTGACCATTATTTCATGCCTCCCCCCACCCCTTACCTCATTTAATAAAGATTGACTATAACTAATCCACCATCCTTGATTTTACTGGATTGCTGATGGTTATGTTAGAAAACACTTAACCCAACAAGTAATCATTTATTTCTAGTAAATCAGTGTGTTGGTTAATAATGGAAAAAGAAAAATTAAATGAAAATAAAGTAAAATTTTAGTGAAACAAAATCAAGGTTACAGATAACTCTGTTGAAATTGCTAGATGTAATCATATGTTCTATTCTAATAGTTTCTTTTCTCACACTTCTCGCTTGTGGAACTCTTCTCTAGTTTCTTGTTTTCCTATCAACTATTATCTTGAAAATTTAAATGAAACATCAATAATTATCTTCTGTCTTTTTGAATTCAGTTCTTTTATTGTTGTTTCCTTTCCATTTCTCAGTGTCTTTCACTCTCAGTAACTCCTAGCATCTTAGAGGCTTTATCACCTTGCTTGGTGTGAAATGATTAAAAAAAAAAAAAAAAAAAAATCATCATCACTTCCAAAGTGCAACATTAAATAATAATCAAGTGAGATTTAAATGAAACACAGGTAAAATAATACGAACGTGCTAAAAACAGCTGATGCAGCAGTTAGCACCCCCAAAATCAGTAGTGGCAGGTTCATGTGATGATGACTTGGGAAATTTGGAAATTCTCTTGTGGAAATTAGCACTGGATTATTGATTAAGTTGGATTACTGATGACCAACCTGTATCATATTAAACATGAATCTGAAAAAGTTAAACAAAATTGAATAATTATCAGGAATAATTTAAATTTCAAATTTAATTTTTAAATTTATTTTATTTACTAATAATTTTATAAACAGAAAAAAAATTTTTTTTTTTTTTTTTTCTATTTATGGTCCAAAAACTGTCAATTCCTCAAAATAACTGGAGCGCTCTAAAATAATTATATATTATTATAATATTTATTATTATTTTTTGTGATGCCAATGAGCATTTGGTTGACAATTTTGTAAGGTCAACGAATACTCGTTGTCACATTCGTAATGCGCGTTGTAGTAAAGACTTTGTTTTGCAGTATGCTGTTGAAAAATGGTGGTGTTGGACACCTTTGAATAACAGTTGCACTAATAGTACTTGCTTGAATAGTAATCTGTATATCGATCCAAATAGAGAAATAGTATAGAGAATAGTGATCTATATAGTAATAGAGGATAGAGTAGAAATAGCGATTTGAATGGTATTAGAGGATAGGCTAGAAATGGCGATCAGTTAGATGTCAAGCTAATTCCTACTTATGAGTTTCCTCTATGGTCATGTGGTCTACTTAATTCAATAATGGGATTGTTTGTGTTTGCTCACTGGTGATCTATGTTCGAAGTCAACTGTCGACAGCAACATTTTATTCCTATATAACATTATTATTATAAAAACCAACAAAAATCAATCCAATGGAAATAACCTCTTTTGCCATGAAATGACCCATTGGGTTGATATTTCATAAAATAGAAAAAAAAGAAACTATTCTTTTTCTGAGTAATTTAAGTTATAAAATCTGAAATCTTCTTTAAATGAAAAGTGCAATATATCATTATCAGTATAAAGTGGGTGATGTTCCTAATGTTGATATTTGAACTGCTGCCCTTCAGAAAGGCAGGAATTGACTCCATCCTGAACTCTGTCGAATCATCACATTTTTTAACAAAATGTCTTGTCACTGTCATGCCATGATAATTGATGGAAAAGAATGGATGAATGAATACTAGTGCTAACCATTTCCCCCTATAACTAACTTAACTAGTCAGATAGTAGCAGCAAAAAATGTTACCCTTATAGTCAACCTTGATGGAGGCTTAAAATATTTAATACTTAGTCTATAATGATGCTTTTACTGTGATGCATTCAGTAAGGCATGTACTATAGTGGTAATAGTCTGTGAGGTTAGTTTGCTAATTACTACCCAATGATAAGGCACTTTAAAATATAAGTTTGAAGAATTTAACATGGTCTCATTTCCCAAGTCTTGTGTGTGTGTGGGTGGGTATTTTTTATATTATACCTATACATGATGCTATCCAGGTGTTTAATATTTTTTATTTGGCTACTCATTATCAGATATTTACTTCTAATGGAAATTTGTCAAATCCAAAAACATATTGGAATAGCAAAAGATGCCTTCTAAAACTTAAAGAAAATACTAAAGAAAAGAAAAATTTGTTTAGAAAAGTGCTGATCTGCTACGTAATATCGATTCTCTAATATGGCAATGAATGCTGGACAATTTCTTCACAGATGAAGAGGAGACTTGAAGCAACAGATGTGGTTCTACAAAAGGATGTTGAGAATACCATAGACAGAGCATATAAGCAACAAAGAAGTTTTAAGGAAAATACAAATAAAAAGGTCACTTTTACTTAGAACCAGTGAGAAAGCTGAAATTTCTAGGACATATAATGAGGAAAGAAGGCTTTTAAAATTCAACACTCACAGGATATACTTAAAGCAAGTAGGACTGGGGAAAAAGTGATTAATATAACTAACAAGCTTGTATGAATGAATAGCGGTAAAAGGAATGGCAGGGATAGTAAAAATACAATCATTGCTAAGGATAAGGATTGTGACAAGCGATGATTGCCTGTGTTCTGAAGTGACATGGCACATTTTTCAGAAAAAATATTTTTTTTTTTGCACAATCTTTATTTTATTTTTATTTTATATATTTTTCTTTTTTTATTTATTTTTTTTTATTTTAAAATAGCTTTGGATATTTTTTTTTTATCTTTTAAATAACTTTGGATATTGGCCAATCTTGCATTTCCTGAACAAACCAGTTATACACAGCAATGTCAAGTGTTTAGTCAGTTGCTATTTTAGTTTGGTCATGTATAAATTTCCATTCTCTTAACAGCATTCATCTTCTATTATTGTCTCACAAGGTACTTACCATCGCACTATCCTTAAATACCTTAATAATAAAATTTTCAATGATAGTGTCAACATATCAGTGTATTTGTCACTGTATGTATGTATGTATTTACTTTTCCATAAAGTATGCAATGATTTGCCATTTGATCCACATTTCTTTTTGTTTGTGAACAAAGCAACCTCAATAAGGAATTTATAATAATAATAATACAACTGAGAAAATGCATGAAACTGAAGAGAATTTTACTTGTTTTTTCAGGTTTGCAGAACTTCTGGCAAAAAACTCTCAGTAGATAATTGAATGATATTAACAAATTAAGAAAAGTTCAAGTGACTTTTAAGATAACTCACTTGACTTTTTTTTAAAGTTATTGAAAAAGGAATCAGTGTTTTAATTTTAGATTTTTATTATCTAAATTTTGGCATTTAAAACTGCATTAAATTTCATTATTTGCAGAGTAATATCTTGCAAATGTTTTTTCACTTTCATAAAGTAATATTTTAAAAATTTCTTATTAAAGATTTAAATAATTAGGCTTTCTAATAAAATTTTGTTACTATAGGTTTTTAGTTCTAATTTTCTAATGTAAGTCAATTGTTGATTTATAACTGAACAGTTTCTGTAACTTCTGATATTACAGGTTACAGGTAGGATTTAACAAATACATCATAATTTTCACTTGTACATAAAGACAAAAGTACTTGGACATCAGACAATTTATATTCACATTTTCATAGGAAACCAGGGAAATGATCTGAAATATAGAAAAAAAAAACTTAAAAAGAAATTGGTCTTTAACAGATCTTGCATGCATTAGAGGCAACCGGACGTCTAGCCACACTGAAGAGCTGTGATACAGTGAAACAGTCTGTCTGTGGATGATAAATATATATATATATATATATATATATATATATATATATATATATATATATATATATATATATATATAAATAAAACATTATATAAATACATACGTATCCTTTCCACTTGATTTAGTTTTTATACAATTTCTTGTGCAATCTAATAATTTTTTTCTTTTCAGATGATAAATTATATAAAAACTGTCTGTATGTTCTTTTTTACCCCCGAGTGCTTTCAGATATACATTTAGCCATTTTCAAGGATGAAATATTTTAACTGTTAAATAAGAAATAGTTTGTTGCATGCATGTATGTATGTATGTATGAAAACATTATATAAATACATACATATCCTTTCCACTTACAGATTTGAGATATATATATATATATATATATATATATTATCAGATTTACAAGTCAGTAAAGCCACTAAGACACAAAAGGTTACCAGGTGTGAAAGAATTAGAAACCTTACTAAGGAGTGAGAACAATAGAAGAGTAATCAGGAAAACAGTATATAGCGATTGACATTGCATTTAAGTTGTTGAAGATCAAAGTCATTGGTTTAGAACTTAGTTACATCAAGTTAATTCAACTATACATTGATGAGACCTTGTTGCCAATGTAGCACTGCACTTTAATTCATAAAGTCTAGGTACCATAGTGAAAAGGTCATCTGAGAGTTTACCATGAAATTATTTATAGAAAAGGCACAAGGAAGCAACTTTATGGTAATGGGAAAGTCACTGAAGCAAAGATGCTAGATCAGGACCAGTAACATTGGTGATTCTTCTTTGGATTTTATCAAGGATGTTTAGATATATAGCAGCAGTGCCAGGACATATGTGGCAGCAATATTCTAAGCATGGATGAATGGTAAACTTAAAATAGATACTGAAGAGAAAAATTGTTTAACATGACACAGTGAACCAATTTTCTTAGCAGTTGACCTAACAATGGATTGATATATATGGTGCGATAGGTAAATTGTCGCCATCTTTCTAATTTCACTCATGCATGGTGTTTGTTTTTGATTTTATTGACTACCCAGTAGGGTCAGTTGGGCACCATCTGTGAGAAAAAGAGTACCATGATACAATTCACTCCATAAATTTGGAAACAGCATGATGTACTGCTTGGCATTTGTGCTGGAAGTGCCAATACAAACATTTCAGAGTGTTTGGGTATCAATCAGTGCAGAGGAT